TTTTTAACACTTCCAAGGTCATTCTCATCCAATGTCATGCATTGCTGCTTCCTTTCGGAATCAGTTGTGCTGTAAGAGCACAGTCCAATATACATATTGATAAATCCAGGCATTATCATACATGAGAAAGTTTACTCTACTACGATGAGGATAGGGTTCAGGTCCCATATCTACCACTATGTCAGCATGTGACCAACAAGTCATTTATCTCCTCTGAAACTCAGTATCTTCATCCATAAAATTAATGCTGAGTACGTGCTACCTGTAAAATTTTATACCGCAATATTAAATTATACTTGATACAGTCTATTAAAGACATGGACTTTATAAAAAGGCTGAGGTAAAAATTAATTAAGGTAAACTTTGGTAATCTGAAAATTTCTTTCAGTGGAACATTTTATTTAATCATGTTGCATAATGAAGTGTTATTATATTACCCTATATCACAAATATTAAAATAATAAATTGACCCTGGCTGGCTTGGCTCAGTGGTTGACCTATAAACCAGGAGGTCACAGCTGGATTCCCAGTCTGAGCATATGCCCTGTTTGCAGGCTCGATCCCCAGTGTGGGGCATGCAGGAGGCAGCCAATCAGTGATTCTCTTATGTTTCTATGTCTCTCTCCCTCTCTGAAATCAATTAAAAAATCCTATCTAATAAAAGAGTAATATGCAAATTAACCATCACTCTGACACAAAAACAGTGGCGCCCATAGCCACAAGATGGCAGCGCCAGTCCTCTCAGCCCTGCTGAAGTCCTCCAGTCCCAAGGGTGGCTGCTGAAAGCAGGGCCCGCTTGGCCGTTGCCTGTGGCGACCCGAGAGCAGCCAAGCGGGCCCCGCAGACAGCAGAGAACCACAGGGAGCGGGCCTAAGCCATCAGTAGGACATTCCCTGAGGGCTCCTGAATTGGAAAGGATGCAGGTCAGGCTGAGGGACCCCCCCCCCGCCCCTCACCCCCGGGCACGAATTTCGTGCACCGAGCCTCTAGTATATAAATAAAAATAGACTAAAAGATAGATTTAAATAAATTAATAGAAATGATTCATAATTGCTGTAAAGGCAAACAAAAATATTTTGGGTGAAGTCTAAAACTTTGAGGTTGCTTGTAGACCAGATTATAGGTTGATTTTTAGCACATGATACAAAATATACAAAAATATAAATGTTTCTTCTTCAAAAAGTAAATGGCCTAGGTTTTGCTTATTAAGAAAAGAAAAATGAACTCTTTTATTACCCTGAAACTATTTTGTGATAAAGGCTGATATATGTGCCAAGCACTATTCTAAGTATTTTATGTGGATTAACAAGTTTTAACCAGTGAAGCAGAAACTACTATCCTCATCTTATAGGTGAGAAGACTGAATACTAGCTGCCTTTCTCGTCATGTCCTCAGCTCAAATGTCCTTTTTTAAGACAAGGAACAAATTTTTCATATATTCCCAGTGCCTAGAACATTTATCTCATTAGCAGAGTACCTGCCATAAGGTAAGTACTCAGTATATTTAAAGAATTGAATCTAATCTTCATTGTAAAGTGATAAACTTGTCAATCTGAAATGGCAACAAATTAAAGAAAATGTTAATTTTCTTAATGCAGACAAATAATTATATAAATTATTTTAGCAGCAGAGAGGCAATACAGGATGCCAAGGTGGGCAGGAACATGGGACATTTGGGTTAAAAGTGAGTGACTGTTTCATTTCTGACTCATTCCATTTTCAAAATGTGTTATTCTAAGGGTTTCTGATAAAAAGTTTTAAGAAACCACCTTAAAATTAGTCCGAGACAAACAAGTATTAAACTCCCATCAAAAGGAGAAAGCTGGGGCACAGTGAAAACAGTCCTGAGAGGGAAGTTCATAGCACTACAGGCCTACCTCAAAAAAACAAGAAAAATTAATAATAAACTATTTTAACCCTACAACTTAAATAATTAGAAAGAGAACAAGAAAAGCACAAAGTAAAAGGAAGGAAACAATAAGGATCAGAGCAGAATAAATGAGATAGTGGCTAAAAAAAAATCCATGAAACCAAGAGCTGGTTCTTTGAAAAGATAAACAAGATTGATGAACTGTTAGCCAGACTCATCAAGAAACAGAGAGGACCCAAATAAAAAAAAATAAAA